TAACTGCAGTGTAAATATCTCCGGCGTTTATCGTCGCAAGGAGACACTTTATTATTAGAACATTCGGCGACAGATTACGCGCTTAACGCGCGTATTGTAATTCAAGTTAATTCCTAATGTTACAAATGTAACGCGAGAAACCTAACCGAAAAATCGCGGTGGCATAATTTAAAGAAAAATGAGCCGGCTATGCTTCATCCTGATTCATAAATGATACTCCAAAATTCGTCCGGCCACGGGGGAGCTAAATGCGCGCCAACCGCTTATTCGCCCATCGTCCTTTTATGAATCGTAAATTTTACAGAGATATTTCTAGCCCACTCTCTCAAATCCGACTGTTTTCCAACAAGGTTTCGTACGTAATCATTAGAATTCTTGGCAAGTCGTACACTCTCAACGCGAATTACTGCTCCACACATACAAACGTTAATTAAAATTGCCTCTTTTTTAAGAAAGATTTAGAAGCACAAATCAATGAAAGAATTAAATAATGTTTAATCTTTATAACTAATTTTTTACAATTATGTTTATTGTGCATAAAGAACTTATATTTTTCTCTTATGGAGACATCGAATTCTACGATAACTAGGATTTTTCAGCATCTATATAAATTAGAGTACTTGCAAACACGGTGTAAAAAAATCTCATGCGACGAGGCTACTAATTCCAATAATTTCGAATTCGCGGCGTGTAGTCGACGATAACAGTAACCGTGGCGGTAAATTGAATGTAGGAGCCTCGGAGATAATGGTCTCGTCTTTATCGAGGTATCTTACGGCCCGGCCGTAGCAGTACGTGGAAAAGTAATGGCCTGCAGATACTACCCTTCCAAATAGTTGAAATATCGGCCTGTCAGAAATTCTAGAACTGGAATTGCATTCCGCCGCTCCCTTTGCCGGCTATCCTTCGTTTTCTCGCACAAGATTACTTAATTCATCTTTGTAACTTGAAGTTCATACTGCCCTATGCACTGCGTCCACGAGTTTATTGCAAATCTTATTAAAACTCAAAATAATATATCCTTTCCGTCATACAAATCGTATTAAAACTAAAATATTATGTTGTTCTCTCAAGCGAAACTTTTGTGCTAAAAATTTCATTAGATTTGCATTATATAAAACTTTAATTATATATATATATATATGTATAGACGGTTAAATTTACGCTGTGGATGAATTAGCTACAAGAAGAGCTCATCTCTCCTGAGAGATCACCACAAAAACATCTAACAACGCGTAATTATTGAATTACAAATTACAAAATTACGTGAAATTGCAAACAGCCGTCGGCGACAAGAAACTTCGCGCTGAAGATATTAAAATTGGCATAACGAGCCGGTTTACATCGTCACACACGTCGCTCGTTAAGTGCGTATTTGTTCGGCCAGCTAACGACATTAGAGTTCTTGCTCCGGAGTGGCCCCGCTCCGCCATTAGACGGCGCATTTTTCGCTGATGAAAAGCTGCAACCTCGGACTAGAATGTCGATGACGAGAAAAACCAAGAGTGACGGGGGGGTGCGGAGGGGACGACGGGTAAAAGAGGAAAAATGTGTCACAGGCAATCTGCAACTAACGAAGCCGGCATTAAAGACCGGTACCACCGGGCTATTGAAACACTCGTACTTCTGTACAACATTTCGTCTCGTTTGCACGCTCTATCGCGCTCTTTGAAGGCCCCATTTTACGGCCAACCGTATTACGGACATTGACCGTCGCTCTCTTCTCACGATTTTAATTACATTTTGGTATAAACACTAAAAATCGTCTATGCGAACTCCCGGATATCGAATGAAATATAAAAGAAAGAGAAATATAAAAATTTCTTATTTTTTCTCTTACTATTAGATCAGCACAATATCATTAAGTTCCCATCATTAGATGCATTTTCCTCGCAATATAAATTGCAATATGCTCCATAGTTAACAGTTATTACATTGAAGCGTTTATTAAGAGGTAAAAGGGAGCGCATCTTCTTTTCTTCACAGACGCCAATTTGCTTCTTTTCGAACAGAAATAACTTACCATTACGCAATTTGGAAAATTATCTATGCTACGTTAGCAGCGATTCCATTATCGAACGAATGGGGCATTGAGACTTTAAAGGGAGCCTTTCCAACTCCGCCGGGCGATAATCCTCGCGCCAACGTAACGGCGAATATACTTCAGTAGCGAGTTCGTTAGAATCGTAAATATCAGTATCTTCATCGAGAGAGCGCGGGCGGCACATTCTGCTATCTCGTAATGGATTCCATAACGGACGTTGCATACGTGTTGGGTCGTGTCGTTTGTACGTACCTCCCGTTCCCCCCTTTCCCTCCCGGAGAGGCGCATCCTCTTTCACGAGTCCGCCCGTTACAATCCGCTGACCAACCTAAACGCCGACGTAGCCTTAATTAAACGGCCGTCCGCCCTCGCGTATAACTGATTGTTTCCTTAATCGGATGGTTTTTATTGTCTGCGGATGTAGAACGACACCGAGGATCCATGTGGACTTGGGGGTTGAGTTAGCCGCGGCTCGAGGGACGCGTCTGATCCACGCGAAGTGATATGCACGTCTTCCCCTCAACGTTCCGCATTTATTTCAGTAGACCGGAGGGAGACGCGAGATCACCGGAGGTGGTTCGCATATTTGCGGTGCGGTACACCTCACGTGACGTAAAATACGGATGCACCGAACATTGCATTTGTTCCCAGTTGCATCGCGAGATAAACCGTCATGATTGGCGGTGGCAACTCGAGACGCGTCGGAACACACTTTACGCCGCTTCATTTAGCGTCGCGGAGTCTTACCGACAGTCTTGATTAATTAACAGCCAGTTGATATCTCTAATTGCTTCTTGAAAGCATATACGAGAGAGTTACGCGAGATATGTGTGAATAGAGAAATGACATTTTAGCAGCTATGATTAATTAATGCCGCAGAGATTGTGGTACCAGATTGATTAATAATTGAGAGTTAATTATATAATTTGAATAGTATAATTGTAATGAGGTATATTATGAATAATATATTTGTTAATGAAGATGTATCGTTAAATTAACTGCTAATTTAGTGAAATTTGTGCACGCACACACGTATACATTAATTTTTATAATAATTATAAGATACATGCTTGTCTTTTCATTAATGTACTTTCAGATATACTCAATTTTAATGCACAATGATATAAAAGAATTTATCATCGTAGTTTGCTTACTAAAGTTAAACCGTAATCACTTTTAGAATGCACGGAAGCACAGAAATTATCGCTCTTCGGCTAGTATAGTTTCCAAAGTGCAACCGCTCTATCAGCAACTGTGATCTTAATTGTAATAGTCGTGTGCACGGTGGAACAATGTACGAACGTGACACAGAGTGACATAGGAAAATCGTCACTCTCGGATTCGTCGAATTGCCCGTCCAATTTCGGGAGGCGTTTAGCAAATGATCGAGGAATCTATTGAACGTGAGCCCTGCAATTTCAAAGCGATTCCAACAATGACCTCCCCCCCCCTCTCTCTCTCTTGCTATCTCTCGGAAAGAGTGACACTATGTGACTCTAGACAATAACGCGGCAAACGTAAATTACCCCTTCGCAAGATAGGGAGCGCGGGAGAGGCTCCGATTTGAATAGCGAGCAAAGTGAACAAAGTGAACAATACGCACGATATGTCAACTGAATTGGGTCAATATCCGGTAGCGGTAGGTCACCCCGAACTGGAAGTCGTTTCGCATTAATTTCCACATAAAAAAGATTCGAATTGCGTAAACGAGCCTTTTATGGGGTACCATAAAACGAAACCGATCACTTTGTTTTGTTCTATCAATTCAGCGATTTTTTATTTGTTATATTTTATTATATGTTAATAAAATAAATCTTGATTATAATGCGATGTAGATCTAACACGTAAACAATTTATAAATCGTATAATCGTATATAAAATAACAAATAACGTATGTGAAACAATTTACTTTTTATTTAAACTATAAATTTAAACATTAATATACATTTTGTATGATAAGAGATATAACAAAGGCTGAATATAGATTCAATGATCTGCAAAGCGAGAACTCTTGAATCAAACGTCATTAAACCCTTTCAATCGCAAATTTGTTGCTTTAACATTATGCCGCGTCGAATTTCTAATGAATTGAATTCTGCATTAGGTTTGCTGTGGTCGCCGCGGCATTTTAATTGGCGCTAAGTGGCACAACGTTTCGCTTTGTAACACTTCAGCTTTAAGCGTCAGCGCAACGCAAACAGCATAGTTGGATATAGTTACGTGGCATAGTTACATAAAATCGAAGTTCCTAAAATCAAACAATCTCTCTCGTGCGATCGCTGTGATTGTCAGCGAATTTCGACGATGTGCGATGCCAACTACGTTGGAGAACGCGCGCGCGCGCGCGAGCACGCGCGTGTTTATACACATTTCAGAAACATGTCCTCCGAGTGAGTGCCACGAAAATTATGACCGACAGCGGTTGCATCCCGCGAAAGCTGCTGCAGCGGTTGAAATATGCACGCAGTGCACCGCAGCGTTGCACGGAACATCGCGACAGAAAGTAATTGTTCCTATTGTAGCTCTGCTACCAGATATTAGACCATACGTCACTCCAGCGGGAACGATGAATTACCCAACACCCCCCCGGACGCAATTCCGAGAAATCAGAATTTCAATTAGACAAGGTCTATTCTTTGCCCGTGTTCAATTATAACCGATATCGTTACATCGCACGAAGCTAATGATGTTAGTCGCGTTTATCTTATCTATCTTTTTATAACAAGTGTCCGTTATTTAAAAAATTAGTAAATTTATCACGGACCGTAGCGGATGAAAATTAAGTCGCAAGTTTCAGCTTTTAGAAAATTGTATTTAACTTGCGATTTACACGTCTAGTTCGTGAAATAGCTGGATCAGTGAAACAGATATGCGAAATATTCTCAGCGAGATATGTGCATATCCAAGCATTTACTTAAATGCTTAAAAATGGCAAAAATGTTTAAATAATTTTCAGAGAGCACATTCCGAGTGACGCTACAGAAAAGTAGTCGCGGTCTTGGCCTGAGCGTTTCCGGTGGCGGCACCGCGGGGCCCGTCAGGGTGAAAAGACTCTTTCCTCAACAACCCGCTGCCTTGTCCAACAAACTTCAAACTGGTGACATATTGCTGGCAGCCAATGGGATCCCGCTAACTGGCCTCACCAATTACGTGAGTAATCAATTAACTACTGATTGAAAATCAATGACAGGCGGAAACGGAACGGCGAACTTAACTACGAATGCATCGAATTAATAAATGAAAACTTAGTTTGCGAACTACGTATATAACGATAATTTCATAAATATCGCAAATGCTGAGTTGATGAAGTTCATTCGCAAAATGAGATATTACGTAAAACCGATTGATATAGCTTTATATTAACGTGGAAAAATATATTATTTTCTAATATTTTTTTATTTATATAACATAGTATAAATAATATCAAAAATATGCTAAATAAAAACTATACATATTTAACTAAAATAAATTATCATAAATAAAAACTATATATATTTTCTTTTGATTCAGTCGATTTAAATCTAATTACACTAATTCTTATAAAAATTATAAAATTTATTTCGCTGATAACACGGATAGCAATGTCTGCTTTCGAAGAAGAAGTAACACACTGAACAAATTCTACTGATATCAGATCAGCGCGGTAAAGCGCACCATACGCACACCGTTACATATTCTACGTACTCGGTAGTAATGATTGCTACGTTCTCGACTGGCGGCCTCAGCCTTGCGCTCTTCTCGCGGCTCTCGCGAAGATTTGCATTGGATTAGCATAATGCAGCTACGCCCGCGAGCCCCGGCGAGAGGGATAGACGTTATCTTGCGTGTACTTGGCAGCTTGTCCCACGAGGGTAAAAGCAATACTGCCTCCTCCTTGCCAGTACGCGCAAACGCGTATGCTCGCGTCATAAACTCGCACGCTCCTGTGACTCTCGTACGTTCTCCGCGACTACGGAAGACGTTAAAACGTTGACTTTATCTTAACTCGATTGCTCCGCTTTGCTACAGGACACTTAGTCGGGAAATAGTTGCGACCGCGTTCGACCGCAGTCGTTGCGAGGTAAAAAAGAATCATACGCTCGCGCTCGTTAAATGTAAATTTGATAAGAAATTAAGAAGCAGCAAATTTAAATTTATATCATGACGTAGAAATATGACTTTTAAGTACGTCGTGAAATACAGAACATTCATGATAACAAATTGCGAAAGGAAGATGTAAAAACAACTCCTTGAAGTTTCAAGAATTTTATCGGTAAAGAAATATCAAACAACATCAAAGTCTTCCTAAATGTATCTGTTATTTATTTCTTACGTACAGGGTAGGAAGAAATACATGACCGTATAACCAGGAAGAGAATAATTCTACGGCTGAAAATAAATCGAAATGATAAAATGAATTTTTGTCGAGAAATTCTTTTTCGAGAGAAGGACTTTTGATTTATTTTCAAATATAAAACCCCGTAGGTTGTACCACGTATTTCAGCGCACCTAATACATAGATATCATCAAGTTTCCCTTCTCGAAGCCCATCGTCATTCCGTTTCATTTCTGTTGTAAACCACCAGAATACGGCCTGCTCTAGCTTTTCGAACCACCGGAAACCATATAACGTCTTTAAAAAAGATGACGTCGTCGCCGGGGCGGTGACTTCGCGAGATATTATCTTTGTGTTACGGCAGAGCCCGCGCATAATCTTATTTCGATGCTACTTGTTGCAGGAGGCTCTCGAAGTTCTGCGTACGACGCCCAGCACGGTCGAGCTGGTGGTGTGCCGGCTTCCAGGAGAGAGTAATGTCACGCCACCCGGTGCACCGCCGCCACCCCCGGCAAGGCGAGAGCCGCCGCCGCCGTTACGTTTACTTAACCCTCTGCCGCCCCTGCAGATCGAGCCCTGTGGTGTAAGTAATGCTCCACTTAAACGCTCCATGAATATAGTATACACAGTTGTCGCGCCATCGTTTCTAGGATGAATAAATAAATGGATAAAATATCGAACAATTCAATAAAATCTAAAAAGAATTTAGTCCTTTATTTTTGTCTAGAGTCTAAATAATTCTGTAGACAAATGTAAAATACTATGGTTTCATATATAGGAAAAATTATTTAATATCATCGATCGCGTATATTATTCCTAAAAATAATTATTTTAATAGACTATTGTAAATAAACTAGATTTTATTTTAAACAACTTATTTTGCGTAAATTGGCCATTGACCTTCTTACATTGTTTAGCTTATAATGAACGTGGACCTCTCTATTAATTTGATAATTTTATTATTATTATTAATAGAGTTTAATTCAAGGCAAATTTTATCAATGTTGTGGTTGGTCTATGGATGTTATTCGTTAATAATATGTATATATAAATATGGATAATAAATATAAATTTTAACAAAGAGAGATTATTAATTTTGAATATTAATTATGAATGTTATGAATATTATGAAGGAATAATATGCGTATTTGATGATAGAAATAATAATTACAGTGTTTAATTCCTCACGGTAATGTATAGACAAATAATTATTCACGTAACACATGGCTCCGAAGAGCTATCCCCGGAGAAACATATACTCCAATGAACTAAATAAATGATTAATTTAATGGGTCCACTTTGAATATAATGATAAAAAATACTCATGCAAATTACAGATTGTCTAAAATAAATTTTATTTATGGAGACTCATTTTTGCTCTGAAACTTAATTTATTGCCGTGGCGTGATTCTCCTTCGAACTGCAGTACTCACTACGTGATTAAATAAAGCAATAAGCTTGAAATATACCTCATATACACATTACATATTAATTCCAATATTCGATTCTCCTGAGAAAACTTTAATATCGATCCTTGAAGTAATACTCATAAACAATAACGTACATATTACATACGTTGCGTGCTGCAGCTCTAAAGAGAAACATATGTGTAAAACGTGCAGTCAGATTTATTCCGCACGTGGAATTCATACATGCATCCCGATAAATATGTATATTTTTTACGCAGTTATAAAAATATGTTTTTTAGCATTTTTGACGTTGGATTGTGTTATCAAAGGAATATTGAAGTATTTGATGACAGTCTGCGATTACCTGACATAAATCAAGAATAAGCGATTTTCGTATGTTAAATGCAAAAATAAAAATTAAATATATCTTCATGCAGTTTTCTACTAACATAAAAAAATTCATCGACAAAGAATTAATATATTCTCCAATTAATATAATTAATATAATATATGTATGTTTAAGATATAATATTAGATAACGGCAAACGCAAACTTACGTTTGCAGGAGTTTGACATCGAGATGACAAAAGTTGCCGGCAGCCTTGGTTTCACTTTGAGGAAGGCGGACAGCAGTGCCCTGGGTCACTACGTGCGTGCACTGGTCCGAGAACCGGCTTTGAGTGACGGCAGAATCCGGCCGGGTGATAAGATCGTCGCGGTGGACGGGGCACCGTTGTCGCCGATGAGCCACGAGGAAGCGGTCCAGCTGTTGCGACAATGTGGACCGACGGTGAAGCTGCGGCTGTATCGAGATCTGGCGCAGACCCCGGTCTCGGCGCTCTCGCCCACCGAACCCGATCATCCTCTCCGTCCGCCACGTACGAGTTTGAGGTAATGCAAATATTTAATCATTCATCATGTCATATGTATTTATACAGAATATGTGCTACAACTAATAATATTATAATCGAAAAAACAACGATTTTAAATGAAAGAATACATCGGAAATGTAAATTTAAGAATTTAAGAATAAATTTAAGAATATTAAAGTAATTGATAAATAAAAATTATTATTAAAGTATGGATGTTAATATTGGAGTAAAATATGCAATAAAAGGAAAATCGATAAAATCAGAATGTCTGTAGGCAGATGAAATATAATATATAATATGTACAATCATTTTAAACATATATAAATAAATATTAAGAAAAACAGATAAAGGTCTCAGTTTTGTTGCTATATATTCATTCTCTATTTGATTCTTGTTTATACGTTGACCTATAAAAGAATATTTAATAGCAAATCTGATATGATTCTGTCTATTGTGGATATTCCTTTATTCTTTTACATTACGCGCAATCCACTTCTTCAGTAACGTAACCGAATCAATTTATTCTTTTATGGCATTTTATAACAGAAAATATTATTGATAAAAGACTGCGGACGCTTGCGTTTCATATTTTACGTTGTTTGCTAACATGATCATTTCCAGCTAAAACACGCCGTTTATGGTCTTTTATATAATGAGTTGTAGTTTTCATTATATTCCATGTGATTTTCCAATAGACAAGAAGCTGTGGATATGCTGTGTGACTTGGCGGTCCGGAAGCTGTCACCCGGTACATCAAGTGGGTCTAGTAACTGCAAGCAACAATCACCTGGTGCGTCGTGCAACTCGCCCCGAAGACTACGTCGACTCGGCACGCGTACTCCCACTGCCGAAACTGATCAAGGTAAATAATTAATTAACAGCATGCACAGACACGCAAAGAAGCAAATGGACTGATAAAGCTGAGAAAATGTAAAGTAATTTAAGCTAAAAAATAATTAAGAGCGATCAACGAGATGATGAAAATTTATCAATTCTATATAAATTCTTTTTCGAATATCTAGAAATGATTATAATTTGTAAATTATATATTTCTTGAAACTCTGTTGGGGGGATTGGTATGTACAAAATTGGAAGGCTTAGCGAACATCAGTTGTTACTTCAGAAGTTTCCGATAATGTTAAAGCGACGACAGAACATTCAGCGCCGAGCTGTCTCTCGGAATTATCTTGAGTCGCGGGGGATTTGGGCAATCCTGATAGGACTTCGCGGCGAGTCTCTTCGTGACAAAATCTCTTCACGACAAGTGTTCTCCCTGCCACAGAAACTCCCGAGAGCAAGTTGCGCGACATGCAAACGACATCGTCGACGGGTAGCCAAGCGGAGACCACGTCAGACTCGGACCAGTGCTCCGTCAGGACGCAAATCACCAATTCCCAGGCGAACACACCTGCGACCGACATAATCGATCCGCCACCGCTTTACGACATCTACGACGACAACGACGACGACGACGACGAGTCGAAGTCAGTGTCGAACAATGCAGTGGCCAGGCCTCGCTTCCTCGATTTGTCGGCGCCGCAGGGTAAGCCGCATTTCCAATTTTGCAGCGTTGACTCGGACGGCGAATATCCCGGAGATGACGAGGTGATCCTCGCCGAGGCGGAGCGCGGTCGACTGGCCGAGCCGAGCTACGACGATGACAGGAGCGTGACGGTGCTGTCGAGCGACGAGCACGACAACGATATGCCGTCCGAGCCGGCTTCGATGCCGCCGGTGCTCTCGTCTACCAGCAGCACCAGCACCGTCGCCTTCAGCTACAAGAATCCAGCTTATCAGAGCGCTAATCCAGCCTGCGGCAGCGCCGGCAGCGACCCGGCTGGAACCAAGAGCAAGGCCACACACTCGAGCGATCAGGACATTCCGGGTAATTATTTTATGTTGCTCGTTTTGCCCGTCCGAGAGATTGGGTAGATTAATAGGATCAAACTTTGACTGATTAATGATGTGTCTTGTTGATTAGTTTGTTTTTTACATTCAATATCTTCAGCCGTCTTAATACTTATGTAATCTTTATTTAATGCTTCATATAAATCTTCTTATCTATTTATAATTTATAAGCTTATAAACATAAATTAATATTAAAGAGCTTATTTTTAAATCTTTATTAAATTCACATAGAGATACATATTATGTGTTATATTAAATATATTAAAGCTATTATATAATATATAAGCTCATTAATATATAAGTCTATAAGCTTCATTTTCATTAATTGAAAAAATGAGCTCTCTACAATTGTTGCTAGAATCAATTTTAATCGCGCGAATATACGCGCTGTCTACTTTACGCCACTATCGTCGAAACCAAATCAGCGCGTTAGAGGGAGAGACCGATAAGATAACGGTCACATCGTTGCGAAAGTAACGAAGCATTCGCGGGTGTCAATTGACGTTATTTCTAACCCGATGAACTCGGTCGCGTCACGCAGGAAAGATCCTGGGAACGGACGACCCGGGCGGTAGCAAGGGGCTATTGAAGTGGAAGGGTGTGATGTTCGCTCCAAACGATGAGGTGGATCAAGGCACTGAGCACAACCAGGAAGGGGCCGGAAGAGACACCACGGATTCGGTCGCTCCTATCGAAGACCTTGAACAAGGCAGCGAGGTTGGTCCCTCGACATCAAGCTTCCGTCATTTAGTTTCGGATTCTGGCTGGATCGGATTCAGCAGATCTTGCGAGATCCTAATTTCGCAATAAGTGATCCCCGCGATAATCTTGAAATGATGTTGAAATGCAAAAATTCAATTTAATATCCGACAAACGCTTTGTTATTCGCGTTGTTGCTTGATTGTTTTTACCATTGGAACACGTGATTATCGATGTCGCGTCGCAATGTTGCGCAATCCGTTCTCGTTGTTGTAGGTGTTCATGGTGGAGCTGACGCGTGGGTGGAACAGCCGGCTGGGCTTTAGTTTGCAGCCGGAAGGAAATCGTACGGTGATATCGGTCGTGCATCCTGACAGTGTCGCGGCCAAGGATGGCAGACTTAGGCAGGGTGATGTATTACTGATGGTGAGTCTTGGACGTCAAGCTTATCCTCCACTTCTTCACATCTTCCCTTTATAGAGCGTAGATTTCACGATCATTATTGAATTAAATATATTTTGGCGATAAAATAATATTAATTATCTATGGCTCACAACTTCGATCACAAGTTTGCGACAATATTTATATTCCTGATAAATAATATTTGTTGAAACGCGTAATTTTAGAATTAAAGGGATTAACATGGACTTGGGGCTGTTTTATTTTAAAATTTAAAAAATCTTTCTTTCCTCAGGTTAACGAGGAGAGCGTGGAACACATGTCAACAGCTGATATAATAGATCTGTTGCGCAAGATACGCGGCTCAATAGGCATCACGGTGATGAGGAAATCCAAACGGAATAATATAACGTGACACTAGTCCAGTGCGTGATCGAAGTAGAAAAACGGAAAGAGAGACGATCTGATTGATATATTGTTCCTTATCAACGAGCAATGGCGAGTTTGGTTTAGACGCGAGTCTAGCGTAAAGAAAGTTTGGCCAGGAAAAAACACGCTGATTTCCTTCAATAATACGTTCATTAAGTTTTGGATAACGAGAGGTAGTAGAAATAAGTAGTAATTATTAAGAAATAAATAGAGATTATATAAAAGAAGAAAGTACAATAAGAGGTGTCATGAATTGGCGGATCTTCGACGTCGGAAGAAAGAGTAAACCCGGTACTGTCAACGGCGAAGATCGTTCACGAAGCAGCATCTTCGCAAGATAATTTCGCTCTGTAAAAGACAGTGCTTTTCGCCTTCGACCGCAAAAAAGAGTCGTCTTCGACTCGATCGATTACAAAAGACTGCCGTCGAGAAATATTCGCAGATGCCATCCAGATAAACATCCCCTGACGAATGTGCGGAGATAAGGAGTCACTCGTTCTTGCGGGATTCTGCCGAAGGGGAACTAAATGCCGGAGACGTGATTAGGATGTCCTGAGGCATCGCATTGAATTCTCAGTCCCAGATTTCGCGCGCAATCAGTCAATCTCGTAACGTAATCCGCAAATCAATATTATTTACGATTGCAGTTCTGCTGGAACGTGAGCGAATGACAATGCGATTTATCCCAAAAAGAACATTCGACATGCCGTGACAGATTGCGCATTAATTATAGAATAATCGAAGTGCTTCTCCCGTAAGTTCGAATCTCTTCGATCTCCAATTATCGGCGTTCGTCAATACTATTCCCGATAGTTTGCGGTGATATTCACGACAAGTGAAATTCTCTTATGATTAATGCGTATTCCTCGCAACGAAATCGAATTCGAGAATCAAAACGGATCAATCAAAATACGATTAGAGAGAAACGATATTGCAAAAGGAGACGTGGTTGGCTTAGTCGGAACGCAATTATCGATTATCCATCGGGAAAACAATCTTGATCTTTTTTATGAAACTACGATATGTGTTGTGTACATAGCTGTAAAAAATATTCTTTTAAATACGTTCACGAGCGTGAAAAGAAAAATCTTACTTGGGAGCTTGCAGTATATATCTTAACATATCTTTGTAAATCATACATATTCCACCAATACTTATCTAAAAAAAAGAGAGAAATACAGAATTCTACGCGAAGGATAGAAATTAAATAGTGGAAGTATCTATAAGTGAATTTGACGCTAATAATATATAATTTTATTTTTCCCTGACATACACTTAAAATGGTTCAACTTAAAATTAAAATTAAAATTGGATTTATATTTTTCCGAAGACGCCAGCAGTTCCTCTTCCAATTCCTTCGAAAATAGAGCTACGCTAAAAACATGTATCGTGTAAATACTGTATTTTTATTCCAGAAAGTGTAACTTTATCGAAAGAGCTTGACGTCTATTACCACGAATTCATACGAATAAAAAATGTGGATTAATTAATTTTACTCGCCCCGCGCCGCCACGCGCGAGAAGTAAATCTCACGTGAAATATAAATTTATCGTGAGGCAGGTAATTAACATTTTGGCTTTAACTTCGTCCATTCGTGATTAGATGAGAATTTACAATAATTAATATTCGCAATTAAAGCGTGTGATAAAGGAAACTCGATGGAGTTTCATTACTCAAGCGAAAGAGATAATCTATTTTCAGGAATTTCTCTTTAACTGTTTAACTGATCAAATAAATTTATAAATAAAGTAATAAATTTAACTATAACGTAAATAGTAGGAGACAATTGGCCTTCTTTGCGGCGAAAACACAGTCTTTTCGCCGTATTAATATCTAACTTCTTTGAGGCTACTATCTCTGGTCTCTTAGCGAATCAAAAGACAATCTATCGTAAGCGCCAGAAACGAGTGAGTCGTAAATGTGTCGCTGATGAATTTGACGATAAATGAATTGTGACTACTGCTTGTAAGATAATGTCTCACGCATCTCTAATATTTCGATCTTCCCCAAGAAGATCGGCAGATAACTACGCACGGGATAAAAGTTAGAATTGCTTGTAGCGTATACTTGAGGGATGTTTCAACGTTCGAGTAACTACCTCGCGTGATGCCATACCACAGCGAAACAGTGACTACTATTAATTGCGCGAATCTGTTTAAGGAAAAAGATATTTTATGCCTGAAAACGTGTATTTCCTAATCTTATGTATGTATATCCTTAATCATGTAATGTCAAAAGATCGCAAGAGAAATGATCATTCTATTAAACGGTAAATGCTCCATAAAACGTTGAATACGGGAGCTAGAGGCAGAAGCTTGTTAAAGTAAGCACGAACCAGTTACATTTACATTGTTACATCAACGACGCTTCCCGAGCCGTAGAGAAATTTTCGTTCCTATATGGTAATGACGCACCTCGCGTGCAAACGAGGAAAGAGGTGTCGGCACGATATGAAGTTTAACAATCTATAACAGTGCAATAACGTTAAGTAAGAATTAGACGAGAACAATATGTAATGAATGTGATAGTCGTTCCGTTTAGAACGTTAGCGCTGTAAATCTACGAACTTAGACGAGTTTATCGTGTGAATTGCACGGCATGTATATAAAGTTAACTGTACAATTGTATAAATCGATACCAAAGTTGTATTAATATCAAAGTTGTGTAATATCAAAGACGAGTATTTTACTGTGTAACCAATTGTTAGAAACGAGCAGTTATATTTTGACATTACGTTAAGCTTATTAAATTATTGTTAGTATCTATGAATATACATTCGAGATATGTAAGTTTTATCGAAAGTTATTCCGATCGTTTTATCGTTTGATCCCCCTTTCCTGTTTGGTATAGTATAATATATATATATATTCAATAAAATTGTTTCTTTGATAACGGCTTCGGTACTTTTCCTATCAACACATTGGAATGACATAACAAAATACATATGTGGATAGGAAATATTGCAAATACGTCGAGTTCTCAGGCATTTTTTTTCAATTTTTATTCAATTTTATTACATTTTTTAATCAATTAAGTCGTAATTAACATAAAAAATGTAAATATTTATATAATCAAAATTGTCCAAAATATATTACAATATTTAAAAAAAGTACATCAAATAATCTTGAAATTTCTTAGAAAAAGCGAATAATAATATATTACTGTACAAAATTATGAAATATACTGCACATAAGAAAGCAGAATGACATTTAGTAACAACATGTAATATAATGTTTTTATTTTTATTTGTTCAAAAATAATATTTATTCTCATAATGCCTTAAAAAAATAAATATTATGTATTTCTGTTTTATATCAAAGGCACTATGGATACAAAACTATATACAACAATTGAATATGCAAAAGATTACTTACTTTAGTCTAATATGTCTTATTTTTATAATGCTCAACATTTTATAATGCTCAACAAGATATATAAAATGATTTATTTCTAGTTATTCAGATTCAGTTATTTTAATTCTATAATTCAATTATGTTGTTAATTTTCTTTTAATTTTCTTTTCTTCGTTATTCATTTTATTTCTCAATCTAACAGATTTTCTCGCAAAATTACGTATATTATTCGTTCGAATTACCTGCGACTGCTCCTTCTCACTTTGTGATTTTTCTTCATCCCGCGCAGTTTCGCCGAAGTTTTCATTATTAAATCCCTTAACTTCGCTAAGCCCAAGCCGAGGTGATTTCCTAGCATTTATCGTCCTATCTGCAATATTTTCTTCATCGCTTAACACAAATGCCATTTCGCGTTCCCGTTTCCGAGGAGTCCAAGTTGTTAGATCTTTGTCCAATACCTTCATGTTTTCTTTTTCGAATTTTGTGCTGCCAGAAGCATACTCCATCGCTTTATTTAATTGCTCGTGCTTTAATCTCTCTATAAAAATCAAAATTCTGTCATGAGGATTTCAATCGTTCTAATAGAGGGACAACTAAAAAGAAAAATAATTTTTATTTAAATTTTCTTAAATATTAGGAATTATTTACCATAATCTTCCTGAATATCAATATCACTGTCACTGTCTTCGTTAATATGCTCGATATCTTCCGTAATTGAATCTATATCTTCATTGTGTAATTCTTTCTGCCATCTATCTCTAGGCTCAGAATATGCAACACATTTATCCGAGCTATACATCGTGTCACTTTTACGCTTCTTAAATTTAGTTTGTTCTCCATTTTCTGTTTCTATTTCGGTTAGTTCAGAAACTGATCTCTTGTTGTCAATATCCATTTTATTCTCCAAAACATTACACTGTCTTGATCGATTATCAAAAGTTATTTCTTCACGTGTTAAAATACTTTCAGAAGGTTTCTCGATCTCTATATTTTCTGTGTTTATAGTAGAATTAAATAAATCCGGACTAGTTTTATTTAGATGGTTTGAGATATCATGATTGGAAGCACATTGATCGATGGAATCGTTAGACGAGGAAGCTAATTCTACAGTTAGAAAATCCATGGGATTATCGCTAACACACGTTTGCAAAGGGCAAGATATGTTCGAATCCGAATCCTCGATATAATTGGCAGAATTCAGTAGCAAAAAATCAGTTTTCTGAGCATCTTTAATAGTCGAATCGTTTTCTGTAACACGATCATTATGTGAAATATCAGAATTTTCTTTATTTAATATATTTCGCCTAACAGATACTTTTTGTGAACTATCGTCATGTTTAACTCTTGCAATTAATTGGTCAAAACTATCTTTATTCGTAGCCACTAAAAATAAGAAAAAAAAATAAGAGAGTTTATAATATTTATATTCCAACTACTTAAGTAATTTGAGAATACTTACGATACTTCTTTCTCTGTTGTTCTATAACATTATGGTCTGTATTTCTATTGACATTTAATCTCTGTAAAAATTTAATATATTGAAATCTAGAAAAAATTTAAGATCAAATGTCCAGAATTAATATGTATAATATAATGTATTTACATTTGATAATTTATGTACTTTCTTCTCCAAATTCTCTTCTTCTTCACATTGCTTAATTAATTCCGGAACAGGTCTAGGATGTGTTTTATCACATTCTGCGTTATAAAGCACCGTGTACTTCTGCAATCTACTCTCTAATGTTTTTCTATCTCCTTGAGACGATAAGCCTAATTCCTTCAGTCTCTTTCGTATGACACTATCCTTCATTAAACTTAACACTAGCTTTGGCAGTGGTTTACGTTTTGGTTCGCTTCTGGAAATAAGCATGTATTTAAAGAAAAAAATTCGAAAAAATATTAAGATATTCCAATGCAGATCACACAGTAATTTTCTGATGCTTACTTTTTCGGTTGATCCTTTTTATTCTCCCTTTTTAAACAATCATCCAAATGCCTATTTATATTACATTGAGGCACTTCCACTTTGCATACTGGACATGTAACTACCTGACGTTCTTCCTTTAGAAAACCCTTTTTACTCTTCGGCGTAAACATTGAAGGTATTCTAAGATCTGTACTGGTGCTAGGAGTGGACACATCTTGCTGATAATCCTTTCGTCCACGAGGTGTGGTATTACCAGCCGCGAGTGTTGGACTATCACAACTTTTATGTGATACCTCGATTGCATTAAGAACATCTTGTTCTTTCTTACATTCAAAATTGCTTGCGGAGCACACAATTTCAGAGTTATCATTCTTCGCAGTCAATAATTTTTCATCATGAGATTTCTTGTCGTGTTTCTCTTTAAAATTTAAATAATGAATAATAATCTCATCCAAGAGCTTGTTCTTCCGCAGATCTTTCTCGTAAGTTTCCTCAGAACAAATTGGACATTGGGTTTTGTAATGCAGATACTTTCTAATGCACAAGGAACAATCTAAAATTATGAGATATAGGATATATGTGTGTATGTAACAGGTAACAGTGATTCCTTTATAAAATTACTCACAACTGTGGGAGCAGGATGTTATTACACTAGTGTCCATGTACTCATAGCATATCCCACATTGTAGTAACTCATCGATACGCTGCAATAACAAAAAGATATACTCTCACTTCATCTTATCATCCTTTTGTAAAGTAAAATTACGTTTTTGGTACCTTCAGCTCCGCGTACTCTGTCGACGACATTGTAAATCCAGAGCTTTGAGATTAGGACAAACAATTCAACGCCATCAAGTAGCCCACCATCACCTCTACAATCTAAACCGTATTTTAATATAAATCGTTAATTCAATAGAAAAGGTTTTAACAGAAAAAAGGCGAAATTGCGATGATACCAATCATCGGCAGGCCATGCCGCATGCCGCCATCGCGATGATATTTATCAAAGTGTTGTGTATACATGATGCCGGAAGGTCTGTTCTTTGTAGATGTACTTTTCATCTTCTCTCTTTTTCTCTCCAACGTCCTATCACCTGTCTATCTCATTTTGAGTGCAATAGGAATATAGGATCAATTTTCAACGAATTCCTTCTTCGTAGCTGCAGATATTAGATATTACTCCTTTTGTACCTAAAATAAAATAAAATATATAATTTGGCATTTTAAGGAGAAAGAGAATAAATAAAAAATATAAAAGAGAGAGCGTAGCTGAAAAGAACATCAGGACCAATGAATCACTGGCTTTTTTTAATTAAACTTTTTTATACTTCGCTCATGCATCTCTTTTCATTCAACATCTAAAAATTCTAAAGTCAACGCCACACGGAGCATGTTTTCTTGCTGGATTACTTGCGATCTAGTAAATTACTAGAAATCCCGAGCCCGAGTGCTGTGTGGTGCAATTATAGTAATTTACTAAATTGCAAGCAATTAATAACTATAATATAATTATATTGTATTATTATATTTTATTTTAAATATTTTATATATTTTATCTCTTTTATTTTAAATACAGGAAATATAACGTAGAGAGAGAACGAAAAGAGGAAAAGTGAGAAAGAAACAGCTTAGATGGTGGATGGTGTTACTAGTAACTCGGGCCGGGCGGGCTTTATGTAATCCTCTTGACAGAGACGGCGGATGTTCGACTGGAGCGTTTTGGATCGAACTCACCCTTGGCGAAGTAATTTCTGACTGAATAATGGGCATCGTGCGGTTAGTACATTCGCTGAGGAATAGAGAGGACACGCTGTCACGGTATTCGCATGCTGCACTGTTCCGCGAGTCGAAATCAAATCGTGACGAGAGGTTATGT